TGCCACAAATGCACGCCGTAAATACTTTAAATAATTGATTTAATAGGAGTGCATTTCAGGCACGCCGTAAAAACAGACTTTTTATGGAAATAAGGCACGCCGTAAAAACAGACTTTTTACGGCATTTCCAAAATGCACGCCGTAAATGGATGCCGTAAAAGCCTACTTTTGTTGTAATGAATAGTCGATTGTTTTAAGCAATAAGAAAAAATGGTGCACTTTAAACAATTTTTATGAAAGCAAAGAAAAGAAAAATCCTAAAATGAAAATTCCGCTTTACTTTTGAAGACCATATACTTAAACTGAATTCTTTACATAATTTGAGAAGAGTAATGCTAGGGGTACATCAACGGGCCTTTGCATCCACTGTGTACTTGTGGATGAGTCCGGTTCGTTCGCTGACGCGTTTTCAGTTCGTCCTTAGTGCAATCACCTCGGCATGTACAATCAGTTTAGTTTTTAGGTCAAGCACCTCGTCCGGCACGTGGCTCGGGCCACGGGTGTTACACGTGGCGGGTGAGGTGGCGGGTCTGACACAGGCCCGTAACAGAGGGTAAACTACATGTAAATTTAAGAAAGTAAAAAATTAACTTAGAATTTAAAGAAGCAAAAATGTTTGACAAAATTATTAACCTCGTGCTTTTACAGTTGAGATATAACCTTATAGTATCCGATAATAAAAACTGATTTTATTTTTTTTACCCAAACCTCATAAGCCTAATTCAATCATTTGCCTTCCTTTTACTTTACTAATTCTAGAGGAAGAAGAAAGAACTCATCAAGAACAAAAGGAAAAGGTGAACAGACCATCTTTATATTTGTATGACACTTAAAATAACTAGGGATGGCAAAAAAAAAACCGACGAACCCGATACCTGTCGGGCTCCGCCCCGAACGGGGTGAGGATAACTCGCTTAATCGGATATTAGGGCGCGGGGATGGGGACGGGAATTTCGCCACGGGGCAGGTTTGGGGAGGAAATGGGTAATGGGCGCCCCGCCTCGTTTAATTTTTTATTAAAATTAAATACTTTAAATGAAAAATTTCACAAAATTTCATTAGCTCTAATAGAAAATGACAATTAAAATTATTTGTCTAAATCTAATGAATGAGGGCAAATTCCCTTCTAATCTCCCTGGTTTCTTTATTGCAAAGAGAGAATACTCTATATATGTCAACAATTATCCGAAGGGCATAGGCATCATTCCATTCAATTACAAGCCTCAACTAATTATAAAATGCTGGGTTTGACATCAATGAGATTTTCTTGGAAAAAAGCTTTTGGGAATTAAAAAGGAAGAGAGGCTACTGTTGGCCCTTTAAACTAAATACTCGACATTTTATTTGAACATTCAAAATTCCAATTGTAAGCAACCCACGGAATAAATTTCTCTAAAAAGGCGCTTTCACAATTCTTCGAAACTTCAACAACTTCTATGAAACTAACTAAAAGAAGAAACCCATATCACAATACAGAGACATCCCTTTACAAACAAAAAAATCATCACAAATTATCGAACCGAAATACAGATTCGCACAAGCATCACAAGTCAAACAGAAATCACTACAACAAAATGTATTTTTTTACTGCATGCGGCCGCACGCCATATAAAGTCATGCCGTAAAAAATGTTTGCTTTTTACAGCGTGCATAGGACGCCGTAAGAGAACGCCGTTATTACTTTTTACGACGTTCAGCCGCACGTCGTAAAAAGTATAACTTTTTACGGCATCCATTGCATGCCCTAAAAAAGAAAAGCAAGCCGTTAACATAGTTTTTACGGCGTGCAATTGCATGCCGTAAAAGGCAATTTGTTTTTTTTTAAAAAATTATTTATTTACATAAAGGAATAAAATGAGGCTTTTCCGAAATTTGGAACTTCAAATCAATTGAGAAAACTAAAGAATACACACAAGTACTAGAACTGTCTACAAAATGTTTGGAAATTGAGAATCCAATCTCTGATCTTCATTGACAGCTCGACTTATTTTTCATTGTAGCTCTGCAGTAGAGATTTTCTTCTGTTTATCACTTCCTTTAACTCACTCACTTATCTTTCAGCAGTTCAATGTTATCCCAATCCCCTCTCCCTTCTTCTGAAGAGTTGATGTTGCTTTCAACTTAGGGATATCAATTTGCATGGCCATTCCTCTCTTCTGCCTCGGCCGGCCACAGATGAACTGTAGGGGGGTTGCCTCACAATGATCTGCAATAAACAAAGCAATGAACACCAATATCCACAGCATTTCAAAGATATTCTTAATTAACTTACAGTATCCTTAACATGAAACTGGTCATCATCTGAATAAGCATATTCACATATACCAATTTGAAATCCAATTAATGAAACGATTGCATAAACCGCTAAGTTCATGTCACATGCCAGATTAACAAGAAAACTAAATAAATTTTTTTAACAACATTAAAACTCTAGAAGTACTTCAAATTCAAATCCTAAAGTTGAATTACAAACTGTTAAATCTCTCAATTATAATGCATAAATCAAATCCGAATTCTTATGGTGGTCTATGCTTAGAATATGGGAATCCATAGACCTTTAATAACTGTCTATACAGGTGGAAAATTGTATTAATGTATTATCATTAAGAAGGGCAAAGAATTTCACCTAACACCAACATCCCCAACAATTCCAATGGCCATACCAGCAGAAAGGCCAGCAAGGCCACAAACGAGGCCAGAAGAAAGGTGAGCATAGCCATCAAACAAGTAGTATGACTTGACCTTAGGGTTGATTCGCCGTGCCATATGCCGCACCCATACCTACAAAACAATAGCTACAATTAGAGAAGCCGGAATTGAAATTGGTATTTTGACCATAGATTTGTAGGTTGGGATAATTACAGGAGAAAACTAGGGCAGCCGCGGCGCCGAGAAAGCCTAAGAACGGTGTCGTTTCATCGCTGTTGAATGTTGATGACATCTTTTCTTGTGTGAATCTGCAGAGATCGGATCTGAAGATTTCTTCTTTTGCAAATAACTCCACACACACACACACGGAGAGAGAGAGAGAGAGTCGTTCGATTTAGGGACCTTAAAATACTCGTGAATCAATAGACCATCCAAAACCGCCTTCATTTCAGAAATTCAATACAGTAGAATCAATTTGAGTATCGAATCTGTGCAAGCCAAAAGAAATGGGAAATTTGTAGGTGAAAAGAGGCTTGAATATAGAGAAGGAGAGGATTTGAAAATTTTAGAAAGGGAAAATGAAATGTGTGGGGGAGGGAAATACATGTTTGAGAATGAAAATTTTCAAAGTGGGAAAATTGAATATTTTAGGGGGGAAATTAAAGTAGTGATTATATTTTATTGCATAAACACGCACGCCATAAACGTATTTGTTAAAAAAATTAAAAAATAAAAATACCATTTACGGCATGCATAAAAAGTATGCTATAAAAACATACCATTTACGGCGTGCTTGAAATGCATGCACGTCGTAAACGTATTTGTTAAAAAAATTAAAAAATAAAAATACCATTTACGACATGCATAAAAAGTACGTCATAAAAACATACCATTTACGGCGTGCCTGAAATGCACGCCGTAAAAACTTTAAATAATTGATTTATTACGGGGTGCATTTCAGGCACGCCGTGAAAATGGACTTTTTACGGCATTCCCGAAATGCACGCCGTAAATGGATGACGTAAAAGCCTACTTTTGTTGTAATGAATAGTCGATTGTTTTAAGCAATAAGAAAAAATGGTGCATTTTAAACAATTTTTATGAAAGGAAAGAAAAAAAAAATCCTAAAATGAAAACTTCCCTTTACTTTTGAAGACCATATACTTAAACTGAATTCTTTACATAATTTGAGCAACGAAAAATGAAGTTGAGAATACCCTGAAGTCCTCATACTTCCAAAATCCCAGACGAGCAAAAGAAAAAATTCACATGCTTATAGACACCTTGAAATCACCTTACAAAACAATTCGCAAACTTGAAAAATATAAGAGATAGACTCTGTTTGTTTCGAATTAAAATCAAATTTTAATTGAAATCAAAGTCAAACAATCAATATTAACTACATCTTTCATGGGTACCACAGCTTTTCAACCATACATTTCAAAAACTTCTATCACAATCTACTAAAAATCTAATTTGAATCCCCACCACACATCCACTAAATTCTACACAAACGTAAAATAATACAACACAAGCAACAATCACCTACAAAAAGAAAAAATAATAACTCACATGTCGAAAGAGATCAAGCCCCAAAAGATCGAAACCCTATATCCTCAACCCTAATATGGAAAAGAAAAAGAAATAATGCAGTTTAGTTTAGGCACGGAAGAAAAGTAACTTCAAAAGGCTAAGGGCCTGTTTGGTACAGATTCTCATTTTCTACAGTAAATCAATTCTCATTTTCAACCCTACATTCTTCAATAAAATAATATTTTCCATTACATCAATATTTTTTTCTTCTTTTTCAATCACACATTTCCCATCATATCACTATTCAAAAATCAATTCTTCCCCCAAAAATCTCTACCAAACACACTCTAAATCTTCAACTAAACCTATCGGAAACAAATCTATCACAACAAGATCGAAACCCTAAATCTTCGAATCTAATATGGAAAGAAACAACATGGCTACGTTTGTGAACAGAAGGAAATTAACTTTCAAAGGGTAAATCTTCGGCTAAGAGTCAAACCCACTATTTATTTTAAAAACTTAAAATCGAGAGTCTCTGGAGCTCATTTTTAAGCACAGAATCTCTAAGATAAAAAGCATTTTGTATTTAGAAAATGTATTGAAGATACTGTTATATCGTTAAAAAGCTCTACGAGTCTAGTTTCAAATGAAATACATTGTTCATAAAATCGAATCTCCTACACTCAGCTACGTACATTATCTAAAATCTCAAAAAAGATGTCAAAATGCTAAAGTGAAAATTCTGAAATTTATGGAAATTTTTAGGTCTTGTATCTTATACCATAGAAAATCCATATGCATGAATGGTTAGAAAAACAGTGTCTTTTACGTTGAGTTATAAGCATTTTCCTAATGCAACAATCAAGGAACGGACTATGAAGTCGAGTTTATATGTATTTATCAGGCAACTTTGCCAATTATTGCTAGCATCGCATATTCAGTATCTACCAAATGCATCATCCACCAAACCGTTACGACACAAAACGCACCCCTAAAAACACTCTCTAATTCATTAGTAGCCCATCCTGGAGCCGGTTAGGGCTTGTTCTTACTAACCAACTGTTATCCCATATACTTTTCAAAGATAATGAAGCGAAAACATCCAATACCGCTATAACATTGCCCCCGAGTTGGTGACCCACAACAAATTTTAACACACTTTTTATAATCATTAAAATAAATTCTATAAAATTTACTTAGCCCCTGTTTGAGCCAAATTAAAATTTTCATTCTCATTCTTCTGTTCATTTTCAACCACGCATTTTTCAATAAAATAATATTTTCCATCACATCAGTAACTTTTCCTTCTTTTTCAATCACATATTCTCCATTAATCTACTATTTCAAAATACATTCTTCCAAAATATTGTGGCTCAAACACACCTTTAAGCTCTCAAAGTTGAAAATATCCGATAGTATTGGTCTTGTTATTTAACAACACAATTTACTATCCATCCCATTATCAATTAATTAATAGGGACTTCTCCATGTTAAAACCCAAGGGAGGAAATTAATTAATGTTTAGATAAAATATTTTGAACTTGTGAGTAAGATGATGTACATATCATTAAATTGTTAATGCATTACAATACAATCATAGGCAATTCAACAATCTCGGACATAAAATGGTATTAATTTTCAGGGATTAAAGCAACAATACTTACTAACTCTATTAAATGTGAACAAATTCAATAAATGCGTTGACCGGGCATCATTTTCATTAATTTCATACTCATCTGTACAACCTTTTACCATCCATTTCAAATTTCAAAGACTGTCTCGCAGACGTAACTGAACAAGTCTACCTAACACTTTTATAAAGTACCTCGAAATGAACGAAAATCGCCGTATTTTTTTCAAATGTATTTGAGCAATTCTCTTTATATTTTGTATCTAGCAAATCATACAAGGAGTCGGAGTAGATTATCAAAATTTTGCCTCTAAATTCACTAAATCTAACTTCATATATCGTAATTCTAGTAATCTTATATATTTTAACAAATAATTTTTTTGTTCCTCAGAGGTATCGAAAATCCTAGTACTTACCAACTAATCCAAGCCTAATTTACCTAAGGAACACTTTTTGAGATTACAAAAATTAAATGAATTTATCTATTGATTTGAAAAAGAAATTGTGGTAACAAATATTTACGTTTATAATCTCTTTATTTTTAATTAATATTCCTCTATTTTTCGGCAACTACTAGGTAGCAAAATGGCACGTGTTAATTAGAGTCCCGAGGGGGTATTAAACTCAAATCAAGTCACTCCATTTGTCTGTACTCTACAGGAGTGCAATACAGGTGGAAGAATTGAGAAATTTGTCACTTGAGAATAGCCCTCTTTTCTGTTCTGTATTTGCCAAATTTCCATCAGTTGCCCTCGCTGGTACATATTCAACTCTTTAAGAAGAGAGCACTCACACTCACTCAGTCATAACGCCTTTCACTTTCATCTTAATCACAAATTCAATGCAAAAAAAGAAAAAAAACCATCTGATTGCCTAAATTCAGTTCCATTTTAGTGAAGATTCTGTTCTTCAGTCATTTTTAACGATTCTCGAACTTAAATTACACAAAGAGAGACATATACACACAGACAGATAGATTAAAAAAAAGTTGATTTACTCGAATTTGAGCAATGTCAGGTACAGATGGCTATGCGGTGTCCCGGACAAATGCTGTTGATGAATTATACCACCCGCCGGTGGCTGAACGGTTTCAGCAAATGTTGTTTCAGCAGCAGCAGTTCATGCAGATGGCGGCGGCGGCAAATGTTACTAACTTGGACCGTTTGACGGAAACTTTAACTATAGTAATTCCTTCACAGAATTCATCTGAGGTATTAAAGAATTCTTATTCATTGATTGATTTTTCTTTTTAAATTTTTTTTTTTTTTTGGTAGAGATAAACCCAAACCTCTTTTTGTTTATTGAAGATGTTATCGAGGAAAAGAAATGAGATAGAATTCTACGTTTGATTTAATATTCAGATGATCAAAAACATGTATTTCTGCAATTTAAAATTAAGACAAGCGGCGAGCCTAATTCGAGTTTTGAAAATTCAGAATTTGGTTTATTTCGTTTTCTTTGATATATAAGTTTACTAACAATATTTTTTCGAATTTTTATGTGTTAGCATCACAGGATTGCTACAAAAACGGGATTTGGATAAATTGAATGAGATTGCATGTTTGTTGTTGGCAGAGGGAAATTGAGTTAAATGCTCGAAGGGAAATGAATCCACATACCTGGATTGTTTGCTCTAATGTACTTTTTGAAATATCTACAAAAGAGGAGTTCTTGATTACTGTTAAGTCGCAGCATTTTCGAATATTTTATTTTTAAAAAAAGGATCTTGAAATTTGTGACTTTCTGAAAAGATTGATAAAATATTTTTTGAGAAGTTGATAGTTTATGGTTTTTTAAAAAGATCGAAAAAAGATGTAATTTTTGTAAGGTCATTAGTTAGCGGTTTCAAAAACTCTATGAAAGAATTCGTTCCGGAAGCATGTCATTTCTCGTTAGTGTAGGGAGATTTATGAAGGGAAATTTGAAAAGTCGTTAACTTTTGAATTTTTGAAAAGTCGTTCAAGTTTACGGGAATTTCAGAAGTTTAACGAATTTTTGAAAAGTCGTTAGGTTCATGGAAAATTTTGAAAAGTCGTTAAGTTTTGGCGGTTTTGAAATATTTTTCGAGGAAGCTTTTAAAAGTTCTTTAATTTGTCGTGTTTTGTGTGGTTGGCAGGTGAATGCAAGCAGATCGGAAATGCAGGAAGTTGACTCAGTTCCTTTCTATTACTTCGAGGATTTTTGCGAATCTCTTACAGTGTGGAGTCTGTGTGGAGTCGGGGTACCATTTTTGTTAAATGGACAAGATCTAGTCACTCAGTATTATGTTCCGTATTTGTCAGGCATACAGTTGTATGTAGACTCATCGAAGCCTCTTTCAGATCTTAGGTGAGCCTTAATTACAGCAATCTTTGTTTGTGTGTTAATTGATTTTTGGTTAATTTTTAGTTAAAGCTTCTGTTTATGTGATAATTTTTGGTATTCATTGATTACTCTTGCACCGGTGTCATATCTATTACAATCTTTGTTGTACGATCTGTAATCATGGAATTTGTACGTACTACTTTTTTGTTTAGCTGTCATTATGTGATTTGTTTATATAAGTAATTTCGACGTCATTGATTATATGCCAGTATAGGTAATTACTTCGTCATTCTCTAGTTCCACTTATTCTAATCGCTTCTTTGATCCCTGCTCATGGAATTTGGACATACTACACTTGGGTATACTACCAATTTGATTTCTCGTAGATGGTCGTTACATCACCTCTTTTTCGAGCTTTAGCTATTCAGGATCTCTTTAGTGCTTTGGTTTGTATATTCTCATTGCCACGTATTATTTGACTAGGCTGTTTGCACATTGCACTCCACATTACTGCGATGATGAACTTATTTCTTTCTAGTTGCTTTGTATACTCTTACTCCTTCATGATTTCTACAGACCAAAAACGGGAGAAAAGTTCCTTTTTGGGTCATTATGGCTCTATGGAAATTGTACTTCCTTGTACTGGATTATATCTCCAGCTTTTGTATTCCAAAAGGCAATGAAAATTTTGCTTACAAACGGTAACAATGAAAATATATACGGAAATGAACTCATTTCTGAACAAAAACATCATAAAAATGTTAACATGTGCTCATCTTCGTTTTGGTTCAGGAAACCAGGTGAGGAGAAAGCTGAAATTTCTAGTTCACCTGGACGTCTCGTTTTGGACTATATGGAACAGGAAAAACCGTGGCTGCGCAAGCCGTTAAGTGAGCAGGTAGATTCAGTCGGAGTTTGAAATATTACATTAACATCTGTCAGTCTGTTTCATGTCCTGAAAAATGATCGTGGTTGAATATTTTCCCTTCAAATGCAGCTTGAAGCTCTGGCATCCCAATTTGATCTGAAGCAGTGCAGGAGCTGTGATCTCCTTCCTACTAGTTGGATTTCTATTGCCTGGTATGTTTTTTACTTACAAATTTACACCATATACTTATTGTGTGATTAGAATGTTCAAAACTCTTGCTATATCTTCTCTTTGGATTAACAAATCTGGTGCAGGTATCCAATTTATAGAATACCAGTCGGCCCAGTACTAGGGGATCTGGAGGCATCTTTTTTGACCTTCCATTCCTTGTCAACACGAGTCGTGAATGCTAGCAAGGACCGCGGCATTGTTGATTCTTCTTCGAAGATCTCCTTGCCAGTCTTTGGCCTCGCTTCGTTCAAGTTAAGAGGTTCAATTTTGAGTCCTCGGGAACCGCATGAATGCAAACAAGAAGGTTCTCTTTGGCAAGCTGCTGAATCTTGGCTTCAGCATTTGCGCGTTGGTCTCCCCGACTTCCAGTTTTACCGTGCTCGCTACCCTCGACAGAGATGACAAGGGCCGAAGTTTCTTGATCTGCCCAATTCTAATGTTAGTGGGCAGAAGTTGAGTGCCAATCTTGGAACCCATTTTGTGCAAACATTGTGCACTATTTGTGCAAACATTGTGCACTGTTGTTTAGAAGAATTGGATAAATCATGTAGCTTCAGCCGGGTTTCGGTAAATGATAAAATTGACAGTAGAATTGCTGTACAGGGAACAGTCAAGAATTAAATACTCCAATAGCTATATGTGATAGTGTTGAACAATCTGTAATCTCTACTGTTATATTGCAAATATAAATCCACATTGGTAAGAGTTTTCATAATCTGTTGGGAGATGTTAATTTTTTTTTTTCATTTCTTTTGCATTTAAGTAAGTTCATTGCATGTTAATATGTTGTTTCAATTGAGGTGTTATGATGAGAATCACGTAGCAACGAACACTACGCAACCCACAACGAGATTAAAGATCACAAGAAAGCCCAAAAAATAATCTCG